CGCGCTCTGCTGCTGGTGGCCCAGGGTTTGGATCCCAGGTGCGCACCGACAGGCCGCTTGTCAAGTCATGCTGTGGCGGCATCCCACATAAAGTGGAGGAAGATGGGCACAGATGTTAGCCCAGGGCCAGTCTTCCTCAGCAAAAAAAGGAGGATTGGCAGATGTTAGCTCAGGGCGGATCTTCCTCACCAAAACAAAAAAAAAAAAAGAAAAACTCCGTAAAAAATTCTATCATTCTTTCCCTACTATATATTCCCAAATTGAGCAAGGTAAATTTTTTGGTCCAATATTTTATATTCACCAATTTTGTATTCATATATTCTAAGATGTACATTTTTTTCACATTTCACGTCTTCAGTTGGGGTATGTCTTACAATGATTGGCATGGTACTGAAATTTTTTTCTCTTTATTGGAGATATATAAAAAATTCATCCTAAATCGGTGATGACTTCAATTTAAAGATACATGGTAACTTACTAACTTTTCCATCTTTATGATCATCTAGTCATTGGAGAACCCCTTTTGTTGTCACTCAATTTGAAACCTTGGGGATTGTACCTTACAATACATTTCCTTAGCTTCATCAGCGGAAGTGAAGTGAGTTTAGCGCAGAATGATATAAATGATAGTACTTCTTACATCAAAATCCTTATACTTTGAGCAGACACTTTATCAAGTGGCTGAGCAAACACAGCAGCTTTTGAAGTATTTGAAGAGCCATTGAATTTAAGAGTCTTCATGCCTTCACTGTTCTTCAATCTTATTAGTACAGGTCTTCAGACCATGGCTCTTGCTCGGTTCAAATTTAAGGATGTAGATTATAATATAATGCTTAAAACTTTTTATCTACTTCAACCTGTTGATAGATTTATCACATATACTTAGGAAGCTCTTAAATTTAAAATAAGAGGAAATCACAATATTTTAAAATGACATTCAAATGGATAGGGAACTATTTGATCTTCTTCTTAAAAAAATCTCCATAAAAGGGGCCAGCGCGGTGGCGTAGTGGTTAAGTTCATGTGCTCCAGTTCAGCCTAGGTTTCGCAGGTTCGGATCCTGGGCGTGGATCTACACACTGCTTATCAAGCCATGCTGTGGCAAGCATCCTGCATATAAAGTAGAGGAAGATGGGCACGGATGTTAGCCCAGGGCCAATCTTCCTCAGCAAAAAGAGGAAGACTGGCAACAAATGTTAATGCAGAGCTAATCTTCCTCATCAAAAAAAAAATCTCCATAAAATAATTTTATCATCCTGTCATTCTTTTCCTATGGTATTTTCCCAAATTGAGCATGTAAACTTTTTGGTCCAATAGTTTATACTCACCAGTAATATGACCAGATGAACCTAATGAACAAGAAATAGATCTAGAACAAATAGAATAAATGTCAGATATTCAGACTCCATAAGGAATGTTAAGAATTCAGTCCTTTAACACAATCTTTTAAATTTAATTAGATTAATCATTTAGATGAATATCATCTTATCTGCATTTGTTATTTTTATTCTTCTCATGTCATGTTCATTCTAGCCTCTTTATGCTTATAATCTCAACTTGAGAATTAAACAGGAAACAGCATATGAAAACACTTTGCCTGATTCTTGGCAGAAAACAGGTGTCCACTGGTAGAGTGATTAGATCTACGTTTGACTTGTGTGTGCATGCCAGCTCTGCCACTAAACTGATTGTGTGTCTTTGAACACAGCTCTTCTCCCCTTCCACTTATGTTTCCCCAAATTGAGCATCAGTTTCCTTACCATCTGACCACCATCAGTTGTACTTGCAAAATCTTATTGATTTATCTCTTTCTCTCCATTCACATCATCAGAGTTTAGCCATACTTACTGTCCTTGGAGCACTGTTAGATTCCTGGCTGGTTTCTCTGATTTAATCTTTCCTTTGTCAATCCTATTATACTCCCGACCTCCAGGTTAATTTTCTTGATTGTCATACCCTTTCTCAAAAATCTTCAACCTTCTCATACTTAGTTACCAAAATAAATCTTAGCCTAGCGCAGCCCTCGAAAGTCTTTATGCAGACAGTCATCCCTACCTTTCTTCCTGGCTCTCCCTCTCGTTGCATGTCGCTGTCGGTTTTATTTATCGACTCTCCTGTGCATGTCTGATCTCCCCTTATAGGCTGTAAGTTGCACATAAACTAAGACCATCTCTTAAGTCATTTTTTTAAATCTTGTGCAGTGCCTCATACACTATATGTATTTACTAAGTGAATAGGGCAATAAGGGTAATTTATTCTACTTTCTTCTAATATAAAAAACTAAGATATGTAAATTGACCTTTCTTGGTGAATCAGAATTGTCATCCTGAATATCAGTTTCAAAGATGTACTCAGAACCTATTACGAGAAGGTACTCTGTGGGGTGTAGGGGGATAGCTATGAATAAAACAGGTGATGTGGAAGCGTTGAAGTGCCCTGCTAAATTTGTTCTGTCTACTATGGAATTGAAAGCCATATGAAGAAGGTAGTGTAAGTGTAAATTGACTGAGTTATATTTTCAGAAAGATGTTCTTTAATGGAAGATGGGGCTATGTAGGGGTTTTGGGACTGTGTGGGTCCCATGTTGTGTGTGTATGTGTGTCTGTGTGTGTGTGTACATGAGAAAGAGGGAGGGAGGGAATGCCTGAATGAGGGAACAGAAAAACAAACAAAAATACAGTTGCTCAAATAACCTCTTTAAAAATTTTTGTTCTAAGCAGTGTTCCTGAAACATGGGGTTTCCTGATTCTTGAATAATATATGGTAGTAATTTACAGTTATAAAGCTCCTTCACAATCATTACTTTTAATCTAGTGTTTTAAATTGTTGGCATTTCTGGAGTTTAAGGGTTGCATTTTCTAACGGAAGTTATTGTGTTTCCTAGGTAATAAAGTCACAGGGCTGGGTAATTCCAAACGAGGCCACAGCAGAATTTTTTTTTTAAATTATAGATCAGAGAAATGTATCTAAACTAATATTTTGAAACTTTCTTTATGGCTTTTGTAAGTTTTCCTTTATGGCTACAAATTTTATATATTGAGTGAATAGATTCTAACCATTTTCAGTATGATTATCCTTTTCAATGACCAAAAGAAATGGATCACTATATAACAATTGTTCTTTCAGTAACCTTTGAATGAGAAAATATATAGGCAAAAACTTACTATAAAGTCTGTGACTTGTTAAATGAATCTGCACTTTACTAATTAAAAAGTGTGCACATTCTTTGAAATACAGCATCAAATGTGTATAATAACATAATTTAGTCCAGACAATGCCTAATGCACATATAGGTTCCCAGTCCCTTAAAATAACACAATTGCTCATTCAGTGAGACCTTTCTAATAACACCTTTCTAATCACTACCAGTGATTGTTAACTCACAGGTTGGGGACCGCTGCTTTGGATGATATGCTGGCTTTCTCTGGCCACTAATTTAATAATTGACACTCTATTGCAAAAGTTTTAAAAATTATTCTAGGACGTTATTCTCTAAACTGTATTCTTTTTGGTTTTATTTTTGTGTTTTGAAGATTTGTATAAGTATTTATTTAATGAACTAAGATGAAGAACAAAAGCTAAACTTTTATTTTAATAGTTCCTTTCATTCCACAATGCTTCATTTGTTTACTATGTCCCAATTATTTATTTTCACTATCCATAGTTCACCATTAAATAAGTTGGTATACTCAAATTATTTTCAGGTATATTAAGTGACTTTAGAGTGTGCCTGTGCCTGGTAGTCATCTTTTGAATTCCAATCTCTCTCCTTTAAACACACTAATGTGCTGATTATCAGCCTGAATTTAATCAGAGCAGGATGACCTGGATTGATGGAGATGGAGTCACCACTCCCAGCAAAAGTTCCTGGAGCAAGCCATCTGCATCTCTTACCCAGACAGAGGTTCCCTAGGCATAAAAATGATGGTCATTGTTTGTTACCCACATGTACTTTTAATGTGATAATTTTTGCTCTAATGAAAATATACAAACATTTCTGAGATTTAAGATTTATATATCAGGAGAAGAAAACACAAAGCACTTATACCTATCTATATCCCTTCTTAGGCTATAAGAAATTTAAGATTTCTAAGTACCTATGTATACTTACTTGAGGGGTTTTGTATCAAAGTATCATGTCTAGACATTCTGAGCATAATAAATTTGAACATAATAACCATAGCTTTTATTTTATTGTAAATATGGTAATGCTAACATGTCTAATAATTCACTGTGAAAAGTCAGCCGTTAAATTGTAGCAGATCTCATGATTGTAACATGAATCCACCTGTGACATGATGGCTCATATGTTTACATGATCTTGTGTGTTGATAGCAGCATGCTGCCTGTAACCAGGGGGAGGGAGTAAGCCTGCTTCGTTCTGCACTCTTCAGACCACACGTAGACACTCGGTTCACTTCTGTATTCCTCATTTTAATAACCAGGATCTAGAAAACTGGAAGGAATTCAGAGATGGGGAAGTAAAAAGCCATATCAAATGAAGAATGGTCAAAGGTTCTAGGATTATATTCAGTATGTACTTAGTAATATATGTAGAGGACACATGGAGATAGCATAGCTATTAATTAATATTTGAAAAGTTACTGTATTTTGAATGTACTCTTCATGGATTTTCTGGGTAGAAAGTGTCCAAGGAGTCAAATTTCTATTCACTGCGGAGGAGAATTTCTCACAAATGGAATGGGTTGCATTAAGAGATAAGTAGATTCTCTGTTAATTGGTCTATTCAGTCCCAGGCTGGAAGACACGTGGTGAGCTGTGATAGGACAACAAGGATCCCCTGGGTGTGTGGACTACATAAGCTATAAAGCCCTTTTCAAACATGAGAATCCCTGAAATGTTGGAGAAAAAATGAGTATATAGCACAAATCATGACTTAACAGTGTCCAGAATATTTTCTTTTAAATTGCTGTCCCAGAACGTGTTTCATAATGTCTCATTCAAGTCCTGAACCGTTGTGATTCCTTAAGAGCCATACGTTCAAAATTGTGCTAGATTCAGATGCAGCGGAATATGGGGGACACCAGAGATTGGACCACAATACCGATTTCTTCTCTGAGCCTTATGAACATAATGGGCGTCCCTATTCTCTTTTGGTAAGTAAGGTTTTTAAGATATTTTCATTGCATTTTAATTTAATCCTTTATTTTAAAAGTGATGTTTTTGTCCAAAGAAACAACTCTTGAACGAGTAAGTGACATGCAAAAAAGGCAGGGGTGGGGGAGGAGCAGGGAATGAGAACAGCCCTGAAAACACCAGATGCGGTGTGTGGTGCTGGACTGGACTGGGTTCTGTAAAACTAATAGGCAGGAAAAGCTAATTGGGGAAATTTGAATATTAATAGGATTAAAAATTATTTCTCAAAAAATAAGAGGAAGGCAGTTTTTTTCTATTATGAACATTTCTATTTTTTGTGCAACAATTTACTTTTCTTCTGTTTTTGCTCTCTCTATAATATTTTACATTAAGCAGATTTCTATATTATTGAATGTTTAATGAAGTTTGGTTTAAAACACCTTAAAAGGATCAATAAAATATATCTTTTTTTCTTTCATGTAGTCACTTGAAGACTGAATTCATTCTAGTTAGAAAATTCCGTGGTTTCTTCATATTACTGAGGAAGGCGTTAAGTTATATAACTAATTTTTACTTTGTGTTTTTAACACAAATGAAAGAATATTGCTTTAAACTGCTGGGTTTAAATTATTTTAAAACTGTAGAATTTAGAAACTCTCCAGATTGGGAGGAATTCTTCATTTACTTTATGGCCGGATAAAGGATCAAGTCCACACCTACGTTATATATATATTTTTCTTTTCCTGGTTAGTCATATGCCTCTTTTCTCTCTCTCTCTCTCTTTCTGTCTCTTTCTCTCTCTCTTTTCCTTCTTTTCCCTCTTCTTCTGTCTCTCTGTCTCAGATCTGTATTTTTCCCCCTGGGAGGGCTTGGATTAAGATCTGCTTCACTTTCATGAGGGCAGGATGTATCTAACGAATGTATAGTTAGCTTTAGCATGGCTGTTAAATTCTCTCATTTTTCAAAAATTTACGTATAAGTCAAGCAGGAGAATTTGTATCGGACCCCTGTCTGGCTCTTTTTTCTACTATATTCTCATCTCTTAAAGTGGTGACAGCACATCACTTTGTAAACCACCATATCATATACAGAATTGATGTGCCAAAGACAGTGGCATAAAGTAAATGAAAAATGCAGGGATGAGCAAGATCGAGTTGTTGATTGAGACTCTGAGCAAAATGCAGTGGCCACAGGAGACTTAGGTGTTACCCTCAGTGTATGTGTGTGCATACGGGTGGTGTTGATGGTGATACTGGTAGAGCTTTGGATGTAGATGTAGATACATATGTGTTTTTAAGAGTGAGGGCTCGAAGGTGCTGTGAGAGTCTTCAAAGAATGATTGCTGTAGTCTGTCAGAATGTTCCGTTTTGCCACGTAAAATAAGATTAATAAAAATAGGTTCTGAAAGAATGATAAAATTATCTTAAAGCTCTGAAATAACCAAAAGAGTTAGAGACCCCTGAGTGGTTAGAGAGGTTGATTCAGCTGGCAAAGAGGAGTCATGGAGAAACAGCAACCGACTACAATAAGGCTGAACTTGAACCAATTAAACCAGAGTGAAAGGAGTTTGAAAGATCTAGACAGCAAAATTCTCATGTAGCCAACTTTCCCAAAGGTTCATGTATCCAAAGAGGGTTGTGTTAGGGAGAGAGGGCTGGTAGTATAGTGAAAAGACCACAGAAGGTCCTGGCAGAGAACTTAGGAGCAAGCCCTCTGCCTGCCACTTACCAGCTATGAGAACTTGAGTAATTGAAGCCTTTTGTGCCTCCGTTTCCCTCATCTGTATAATGAGGATTAGTAAAAGTAGCCTTCCTACGGCAAGAGATTCTTAGGAGGCATAAATTGATTAATGCAGCCAAGCATTTTGGAAACTGCAAAATACTATTGCACATGTATTTTAAAGTTATTATTGTCATGGCTATTCGACAATTTGTTAGGTATTTTAAGCACATCAGAACACTTGGTGCTTTGAGGACACACAGTTAAAAAGACCTTCTCCCAACTTTGGGAAATGATAATCTTAGGCAAGGGCTCACAATCTTTGGGCGTAGGCAGACAATATCTTGGCATCCTTTCCGTTTTGTAAGAGCAAAGATATTCTGTCATAATTAAACCAGCCAACCAGTGGCAGCAACAGTCAGGAGGTTACTTTTTCAAGCACTAATTGACTTGATCTTGCTTATATGATATGTGCAGTTCTAAATTAGCAGGTGGAATGGAGAATATCACATAGGTCTCCATAAGAGCTGGAGGAATACAGCAGTGCAAGCACAGGAGAAATAGAGTAGAGCTTAACCGCTGCCAGTAATAGGATTCTGATCCAGCTCCGTCAGAAAGGTAGAGATGAACCCTGTCTTCCCAGTGGCAGCATTCTATTTTCCATGACTACAGGTGCTTCAGGAATTACTCATTAAATAAAAATTACTCATTCAGGCTCCAGAGGAAATGATCCCTGGTTTAATGTAAGAATAAGGGAGGCCAGATAGACCAGAAAATCCACTAGAACAGGTTCCTTCTCGCCCGAGTTATCCTTCGAAAAGCCAGAGAAAAAATTACGTTAAAAAACAGACCTATTATAAGAATGCTTCGTTATAATGGAACTTTATAAACTTGTTCCTATGTGCTGGCATCCAGTCAGGTTTCCTGAACATGACCATACGTGCTATAGGTCTCACATTCCACCACCAGTGAAAGATCGCTTCTGCCTCCCACAGGCCTAAAATAAAGGGGGAAAGGGGGACAAAAATATAGCTTTTACCTTTTCCATGCAATTTCTGGCCATTGTAACTGGGACACAGTATTTGCAAAAGCTTAATTTGCAAACTCAATAATCCAGAGGATCTGCTGAATAAGTGTCAAAGCTGTTTTCAAAGACAGCAACCAACAGAGCTCGAAGGAATCTTAAAATAGCTGTCCATGCTGCAGCATCAGCAGGGACCACTCCAGCGTCGTCTTTCTGTGCTCCATCAGCTGAAACTCGGAAGCCAGAGAACTGCGTGTGTAGTACCGTTGGAACGTATTTGTAAGGTCAGAGTCGCTCACAGATGCCAGGAAGCGATAGGGCAGAACGTATCCATTCTGCTTTACCAGCAGTTGTTGGAAATTCCATTTTAGCATAGCCATTTCTCTATATTTTGGTTCCTGATACAGGAACTTATATGTTACCCTAAATGTTAATCAGTGCCCTGGAGGTGGGGCAAGGGGCGCTTTCTTTCCTCTGGTTCATAAACTCTAATTCCATGGCACAAATGGAAGAAGAGAGATTATTGAACCTGAAGTGAATTAGATTCCTTTACAGTAACTCAAGCCGTCTCAATGGTGAAAATGTGAATAAAGCAATAGTTTTAGCATTTATTACTTTGCCAGTTAGGCTCTTTATCATTGAGAAGCAGATCAGTTTATTCACATTCTAAATTTGGGGGGTCAAAAGTAGACTTTGGTTTAAATAGGGCATTTGGCATAGATGTATCTTTTTTATTGCCCCTCGGTGGTAAGTATTGAAAATACAACTTGGCTGATGAGAAATGTCTTTTTTGTGTGTGCGTGAGGAAGATCAGCCCTGGGCTAACATCCGATGCCAATCCTCCTCTTTTTGCTGAGAAAGATTGGCCCTGGGCTAACATCCGTGCCCATCTTCCTCTACTTTATATGGGATGCCACCACAGCATGACTTGACAAGCGGTGCGTCGGTGCGTGCCCGGGATCCAAACCTGTGAACCCAGGGCCGCCGAAACGGAGCATGCACACTTAACTGCTTTGCCACCGGGCCGGCCCTGGAAAATGTCTTTTCCTCTATCCAAAATTATGAAACTGTTTAATTTTTTTTAGACAAATAATCAATCTTGATTCTTAAAGTTTACTCTTTTTAATATTTTTAAATTAGATGAGAAAATATACATTTCTATATAGAAATATTTACTAGCATCACTTTTCTCTTAACCTAATACAAAATAATGAATTAGAATAAGATTTCTTTTTTCTTAGAAAATATTTTATGAACTAAAGCTTGTTTGTAAAAATTAAAATTATTTTGTCATCCTTATTTTTCAAAATAATTTGTAAATTTTATGACAAATGTGTGTATATACTAAGAGTCTAATGCCCTTTTCAACAAATGATGTTATCACCGTTCAGTTATGTGCTATTGCTAAATTTAACAATTTCTGAGAAAACTTAAAAATTAGCCTTTAAAGTGTTTTTTATTTAAAATTATTTTACGGGGCCAGCCCGGTGGTGCAAGCGGTTAAGTGCTCACGTTCCGCTGCGGCGGCCCGGGGTTTGCCGGTTCGGATCCCGGGTGCGCACCGACGCACCGCTTGTTAAGCCATGCTGTGGCGGCGTCCCATATAAAGTGGAGGAAGATGGGCATGGATGTTAGCCCAGGGCCAGTCTTCCTCAGCAAAAAAAAAAAAAAATTATTTTAAAATTTTCTCTTTTCAAATTTTTGAAACTCTGTTTTCAAAAATTGTGTAATTAATTTTTGCAACTCAATTACGATCCTAGAAGAACACAGTACTTTGCCTGGATGATATAATATAGTAGATTATTGTGGGATCAGTTATTTTATTATCCATACTAATGGTTGGCATAGTGATTAAGTCATTAAGCTGGGTAGGTTAGCATGCACTTTGACTCTCTTAATAAATGTATTGGATTATATTGTGGCATTCTGATTCCTTATGAAGAATTGACTACAAATATAGCTAGAAAAAACGAAATTCATGGCCATACATTCCATTTTCTCATATGTTCTTAATGTGATCCTAGCTATAAAATGTTCAGGGCTTAATGGCTAATAAATGGGCATAGTAAATATGTTTATCAGTGTATGTTATCTGTGACATGCCTACTAAATGTTTTCCATATACATGTATTTAAATATAAATTATATTTAAATATACTTAAATGTTTATATTTCAATCTACTTAAATTATGTTCATATTTTTTTCTTGCTGTATGAATCAAAACTATTTTTAGAATTAAAATTATAAAATGAGAGTTACAGAGCCAATACTTAGTACTGATTTATAGAGCCCCCAAATTCTTCATGTCTGTAATTGTCTCTTCATAGGATTAGCTCTAATTATCTTAAATCCTTTAGTATAATTGGTAGTCATTTCCTAACCACTAAGAAAATTGATTTACATACTCAGAACCCTAATAAAGAAGAAAACTCAAAATTCCATAAATAGCCATAGTTAAGAAACATCACTTGCCTGGAGAAATTCTTTCATATTGCCTATACTGCAAGGGCTCTAGAGCAACATAAACACATTCTGGTAATTAACACTGCAGTGAAAAAATATAATTACACAGTATTCCTGTTAATGATATCACATGATTATCAGCTGAAGGTTTTTGAGCAGATAGTATTTGGACGTCTCTAAATGTGACTGGAGTTGGCATCATAAAGCTCCTTACATAAAATGACCAGCATCATTTAGCGAGAGTTCTTGGAGCATTTTTTAGCCATTAAATGCCAAAATAGGAAACTCAATGCATATGTTGCAAACCTTGAACTTCTTATGTCATCCCTTTTGTTTTACTCTTAAATTTGGGCTAGCTAAAATACCAAAAGATCACAGAGATTGTTTATAAATTATCAGTTTATAGTTATCAGTTGTATTTCATTAATGAAATCTGTATGAGGTTATGAATCAAACAGAGCAGGTACCAAAACGGTGTGGCATCCAAACAGCAGATTGACATACTTGTTCATGATACATCGCTGTGCCACACACAGAGCAGGGACCTAATATGGTCTGTCCTAGGCCTGACACACGTGTTTCATTGCATCTTTCTCAGGAGGCTTGGGCTTTTCAGAATCCTTTTATCTTTATTTAGAGCCATAGAATATTAGAGAAATGTTTTTAATATAAAGGGAACTGGAATTCTTTTGTTCAGTTTCTGGTGCTGCTGAGAAATTTAGATTGGTCTTCAGTTTTAGGATGCTCGTAACAGAACAACTCAGAACCATTCTGATTATAACCTGCCATCCCGCTGATGAGTTACACCGAGTTACTGTGATTCCCCAAACTAAACACATAGAATAGAATAAGTACATGGCAAACTCCCTTGCAAGGGCAGGACACTGTCTTGATTCATGCCTGTTTTGATAAGACTTGGAGAGGGAATTGGTTGAATCTGACTGTTGGTTTCTTTTATTTCTCCTCATTTGCTTTGGTCTGTGTTGACTATGGAAATATGCCATCCTTTGGACTGATCTGTCTGTATCATTGGTAATGGTCCTCTTTTGTTCATGGTGCCTCCAGCTTCCTTTTGTTGAACCAATCTCATAACATCTCACCTATCACGGTTGGAGAGAAACTGTTGAGTGGAAGGAATTGCATTAGCAATTAAATCCTGATGTGGTTTAAAAGCTATGAGTCATTAAAAACAGTGTGTAAATTATAGGGAAACATTGTGGCATTAAAGTACATGGTTTCCCCACACCTAGTGACTGCGAGGATGTTTCTCTTTTGGAAGTACTAGATTGCCCATCAGATGTGAGACATTGAGCCACCCAGTGACTTTGAGCATTTCTGAAATTTTTCTCAAATGTTGATGATCATTTCCCAAATCACTGTTACTTTTAGTTGAAGATTAGAAAAACTGTTCTCTAGTTATTACATTCGTAATGTCAATTTCTCAAAATGCCATCCTTTTAAAACTGCTTTAATCTTTAATGTTCAAAACTAACCAACTGTATTGGTGTATCTGATTTTTTCTTTTTTTTTTAAGAGTTGTAAGAGTTCTTTATAACAGAAACCTTAAGGGAAAATGTTGTGTTCATGTACAGAGTGAGATGCTCTGGACATACAATAGTCTCATTTGATGAAAATCAGTTGTTCTGTTCTTTTATTTTTTTCCTAAAGCTGTGTTTTCTTTGCATCTTTCATTCTGCTTCTAAACTATAAAAGCCTTTTTCATTTTTTTAACCACTGGTCAAGCTTTCACTTAGATAAAGTGACTGAAAATAGCAAAACGTTCGCAAAGTCAGAAATGGAGAGATACTGTCACGATGACAGCAGTCTGTAATATTGTCTTTACTGTTTGCTTTGTTAATAGTAATTAAATATCTTATGTGTAAAATAGCATGTAGAGAAGCGTCCAGTGGTTAATTTTAAATCACTTCTCAATTTTATAAAAATTATTTCAGATGTAAGTATATTGAAGGATATCTTGTGAAATATGCACTTATTGACCCCACTATTGCTGATTCCTTTATTCATTATTCATTCTTTAATTCAGTCGTAATTGGCACCTTCTTTGTCCATTGACACCTACAAGAGTTATAAATATGAAGACATGGCCCTTGTAAAGCTCACAGTCCAGTGGGGAGGATAGATCATAAACTTGAAAAAAATCACAAATTAGGTTAAGTGTTCAGAAAGAAACAAAAATGGTGCTATGATAGAAAATGAAATGGAGAAAGTATCATATCTGGCGTTGTCAAGGAGCACCTCTCCGTGGAGCTGGATTTTTCAAATCCAAGAGGGTAAGGCACTAGCAAGATAGAGAGTGTTCCGAGCAGAGGGCGCAGCCTGGGCAAAGACCCAGAGGAAGGGCAGGGTATGGTGGCTGGAGCCTGGCGAGCGAGGGGAGAAGAGAAGTGCTGTGCTGAGCTGAGAGGCGAGAGGCGCTTATGCAAGAAGGAGCTGGGTCAGGACTCTGCGGGGCGCGGACAGGATGTGTATTGTATTTTAAGTGCCATGGCAAGCTTTTTGATTGATTTAAATTGGGAAGTGGCCTAAAATGCACTTAGGATCCCTTATATTACATTTTTGGGTTTTTTTGTTTTTTTTTTTAAAGATTTTATTTATTTATTTTCCCCCCAAAGCCCCAGTAGATAGTTGTGTGTCATAGCTGCACATCCTTCCAGTTGCCGTATGTGGGACGCGGCCTCAGCATGGCCGGAGAAGCGCTGCGTCCGTGCGCACCCGGGATCCAAACCCGGGCCACCAGCAGCAGAGCCGCGCACTTAACCGCCAAGCCACAGGGCCGGCCCCACATTTTTGTTCTTAAAATGACAGGAGAAAACAAACAAAACAGAATGATACATGTGTCTTGATGTAAAGCGATGCTTTGTACGTTAGTTTTATTCACCTCGGTAGAATAACGTTGTGACCTGTGGGGCAGCCTTCCTTTCCCGCCTCATAGTACCTAACAGCCGTCAGTGCCATTTACGTCCCTGGTGTCTGAGGAACGTTGGTTTTTGTAAAGCATGTGGAGCCCTCTAGTGGTGATTGTTTTAAAGGCGTCTCACAGTGATGCCAGAAGCATTGGAACCGCAGGACAGTGTCTCCTCAGAGCCAGTAGAACTGTCAAGCTAACTGTAACTTGAAGCAAATGTGAGACTGCATCATGCCCCTTTGCCTTAATAACATCACGTTCAGTATTTCTTTCAGTTGCGCTGACATGGTTGTGTTGACCTAGGTGTACATTCCAAGCCGAGTGGCCCTCGTCCTTCAGAATGTGGATCTGCCCAACTGACGAGACCTGATTTCAGCTCCACTGGAGGAAGATGTGTGCTTTGTTTTCCCGTTTTCATTGTCACGAAGCTTATAACGTGTACGCTTTTCAAAATACAGTTGTCTAGCCGAAATGTCAAATGTCTGAAATTCAGTATTGCTTTATGCAAATGAATGTCAAACTTTAAGAAGTGGAGAGGGATTATTTTTGAATATTCACAGATCCTAGACTGTATTTTCCAGGCATCTAAGCAGCTAGGATTCTCAAATGAAGTATTATACATAATGTCTTTAAACAACTTTGCTTTCCTGGCCAATTATTTGATCCTTTTAAGTTCAAATTTGAATCATGTGTCATGTATGATTATTTCTGTTGAATGTAGACAGTCTTTTTTTAAGATGGATATTTCGTGGGTTTATTTGTTCTAATATTTCTTGGTCTAAATTACAAAGTACCAAGACTGTTACTGTATTTTTTCAAATTGTGTTTAGAAATACTGTAATAAATAGTAATAATATAAGATTAAGAATTGTATCAAAGATAACGTAAAAGTTATTATCTATGAACTCCTCCATGCCTCATTTTGCATAAGTTCCATCTTGTAGTCTCTTGCTCACTTGGTATCTTGGCACATGCTGATGTCTCAGTCTTTCCGAAGGCCTGAGTTGGTAATTGTAACATTTCAGAAAATGTCTTTTACTTTGAATCAATGGGAAAAAAAATTGTAAAATTGCTTTTGCTACAATTGTCTATTTCACTGTACAATTAAGGGCCTTGATTTAGAATGAATATGAAAATGCCTTATCTCAACTCCGATACCTTCCCGACATACATGCACATGTGCACGATGGACTAGGAGGCATGGGGATTAATAACATTTTTTTTCTTAGGTACCATTTTGTAACTTGAAGTTATCTTAACCCACTCAGATATCTAAGCTAGTCTCCAGCTGTAAACCTGAGCACTTTTAGAAGCTGAATTAACTGTCTCAACTCAGTGGGATACTCAGTCATGAAGTTGCCCCTCAGTTTATTAAATACTTCACCACAGGTCTAAAATCATTGCTACGGAATTCATTCATAACTGAGAAATTATGATGCACTTATAAGACGTAAAATATCTGTCACTTTTTTAAAGATCTAATATTTTCTTTTACATTAATACTGTGTTTTTGTTTGTTTTTAGCCTGGTTATTCGTGATTAGTAAGGAGCACTTAGAAATCTTTCTATTAAAAACTCAATAATGGAAGAAATAGCAAAATAGACTTACTTTTATAGCTAAACCTATATATTAACCACCTTCCTTATAACTTTTTTGAGTAAAGCCTCGAATCTAGGTCTTGAAATGTGTTATTTGCTTTAACCTCAAAGTAGAATAGTAGTTGGATTTCCTGAAAGAATCGGCGGTGCCCGCTGAGGATGATGCACACCAGGAAACGTGACTGAATGCCGCCTGCAACGCTTTTCCTGTTACAGGGACCTTACTAATGTCGCAGCGCTGCCGTGATCCATGTACTATACCTGCTGTTGATGACGTGATGTGCACCCATGATGTTTCGTGTTCTAGTTTATACTTCCTTACCTTTGTGTTTCTTACGTATGAACAGATATGCTATTTTTCTATTACAGCTCTTTAAAAATGACAAGAAATGACTTCACACCCAGAACCCATTTCCTTTCCATTGTGATCATCTGTGGCAAAGTCAAAAAAACCAGAGTAATTGTATGCTGTGTTTTCATTATACTGGTTGATCTTACTAATATGTTCTTTAGATTTCACATCTGAAGTTTGAATTGAACAATGTAATGTAACTTAATTTCCCTTGTCAAGTGTTTTCACCCCCAAGAAGAGCAATAAATGTATGTTGCTAGGTAAGAATTATAAAAATACATGCAAACAAATAAAATATTGAATCCAAAATAGAACGTAGTCGTCGTTTTTTCCTATCGTAGCATAGACAGCCTTTATAGAACATTCTAATATTGTAGTATATTTCACTTTAAATCATCATTTTTGTATTAGTAACATTCTCATCATCGTGTAATCTGGTGAGAAGTTCTTTTTTTTATTGGCTAAACATTTTCAATAATCAACAGAGAGGCACAAAATTTTACTGTGTGCCTTATAATAATGTTTTTTCTATGATGTGTTTATTACCAACATCAAAAATGAGACTGGTCTATCTTCTTGACTTTTTTAGAATAAGTATTTTTACTGTTTTTATTTTTTATGTTCTAGAAAACATAAATAACTACAGATTTCTTTCCATCGTTTTCTAATATTAGCAAGTGAGTGCTAGTAATTGCTCTGTTTACCCCTAATGCTAATGATGCTTAATGTTTTAGTTTACTATAAGCTTACTCAGAAAATGCCATAGTTTTTAATAGTCAAAAATTGAACTGTAAACATATTTACTAGAATGCTTCTTACTTTATAACACTTGAACTCTGAGGGTCAACTCCTTTCGTATTTTCTTTGCTTTATGTTCAATGTTTCTCCCTTTGCTCTGTTCTCAGCCGGTGTATTCATCTCTAACATAAAATGAGGGATTTAGCCACCATGTTGTTCAAGTTCAAAAAATAACCAGTGACAATAAATTGACTTTTCTTGTGGCCGCTGTAAAAGAATGCACGTATTTTTCCCTCTGACTTGAGCACTCCCCCTTCGCAATATCAATTCAGCATTTGTCACCCATCAGGGTTATAGCCGTTGCTATGCGGGATCATGCAGGAGGTTGTTTCAATAAGGAGCCTGTTCTTCAAATAGTATAGCAGTGAGTGCAGACAGGTCTGGGGGAGGCGATAAAGGGTAATGTATTCTCCTCTCGTGCTCCGCTTGGCGCTTCAGGGCAAATATCCTTGCGCTGTCTCTGGTCCTGCAGCCATTGAATCTGGTGATGAAAGCAACGTCAAATAGGTTTCCTATTGCTTTTCGTGTTTAGAACAAGCCAGAACAGACATACCTGATAGAAACTAAAACAGTGAAGCAGCTTTCTGGCTGACCCTGCACCTCTCAGACTATTTCTTTTTACCTCTTTTGAGTCGTGTCCTGAACTGGGGTTCTGTGGAGTGGTGGATTTCATTAATCTGTATATTCCTTATGGGGAGACAAGCTCTGAGCTATGAACTCTGCTAGGTAGACTGTTTGATGAAAGAACATAGAAATCTAAGCCACAGCAATGTCATGTCCTTTATGCAGTAGAGTTCATTTATCATTCACAATGTGTTAGAACTGAAATGTAGATAAATTTTCCCACTCAAGCCAGCCTTCAGGGGGAAAAAAGTCAAATGAACTCCCTACTAATTTTTCTGCTCTATTATCTTATTAATGGTGATTTGTAGAGAATTGCAGAGAAACATTTATACTTTAGGGCAGAATTTCTTAATTGGCAGAGTGAGGAATTAAGATACAGTAGCTATAAGTTTTGTCTCTCTATATTTAACACATTACATCTGGATTTTAACTCTCGGCAAAAGCTGTGCAGAGAAGTAATTTATTTACATGAAAAAATGTATTTTGTGATAGATACGCTTATGCTAAAGGGCATGTCGTTCAGAAGCTTACTTATAACTTACAGTATTTCTTGTCATTTCTGCTGGACCAAAGAGAGGTATTTGGGCCTCATACATGCTGTGTAGACCGTTTCATCCAGAAGCCTGTGCTGTGTTTTAAAACAACAGTGTGGGGCCAGCCCCATTGGCCTAGTGGTTAAGTTCAGCATGCTCTGCTTCAGCAGCCCGGGTTAGGTTCCCAGGTACGGACTTACACTGCTGGTCGGCAGCCATGCTGTGGTGGTGGCCCACATACAAAATAGAGGAAGATTTGCAATAGATGTTAGCTCAGAGCAAATCTTCCTCAAGCGAAAAAAGGAGCATAGGCAATGGATGTTAGCTCAGGGCGATCTTCCTTAGCAATAAACAAAACAAAACAAAACAATGTGATATAGTGGTCAGAAGACCTGAGTTCAAATGTCAGCTCTTTACTCCTAGAGCCTCATTTGAGAAAGCATTCAATGACTCTTGGTTCTTATCCAAGGTTACAAGACAAAGTGAAAGGGAAAAAAAAAGCATCATCGTTGGTTCTATAAATGCCATTGTTTGAGCAATTGCTACATGGATGGTGAGTCAGTGTTTGGCGACATCTTCCAAGTTTGTTGTCAGGAACACGCTGTCACCACCACCTGTCTATCCTTCAAGGCTTCTGCACTAAGTTATCCCCGCTCTCCCAGGCAGGGAGGTATGGGCTGCTTTGAGGAGGAGGGGATTTTGCATTTTCTCCAACACTGCAGAAAACCAAAACATCGATCCTCCACTGCTAATTTTATTTGCTTATTTTAGCTTTTTCTTTGAGTACACTGGGACGTCCCAGTGAACTCCAGTCCCCTGCAATCAGTGTGCTGCCCCCTTAGTGTGTCAGCTACTCTCAGACTTTGCCCTTGTATAACCCAGCTGTGCATGAAAGGGAACGACCTCTTTATGGTCACCAATGGGGCAATGCAAATTGTACACGAAGTAAAGTAGCCACAGGTGCCCTCCAGTGAGGCACAGCAACCCGGTGTTGAGGGTCTCTATTTCTTTCCCTCTTCCCCTTCCTTACAGTCCAGTATATACTACTAGCAGAAGTAATAAATGACAGAGGAAACTGAAGAATTGCAGAAGAGAGCTCATAGGTTGGAAACAGTTGGCCCATCATTTTTTGGATTGAAAGTCTGTAGTCTCATCAGAAATACACAGCTTTATGAAATAAATGTTTGTACAACTAAATGTTAATTTCTTGAAGAAGAGGGAGAGATATCAACCATTGATCTACAATTTCCACAGTTGTCTGGTACTCACCATAAGACGATGCAAAGCAGAAAACTCACAAGAAAGCCATCACACTAAATTACTTTATAAATTAAATAAATTAAATTACATATAAATTAAATGAAGTAAGTGTTCCAATTGTTTGTGGATACTTGTCTAAGGTAATACAGGAAATATAAAGCTGTAAATGTATGAATAAACCCATCCAACATGTATGCATTTATAGCATATGTATGGGTATGTGAGTACACACACATACATCTGTAAACTGAAAACCCACAAAGTTCGCTGATTCCAATATTGTCTTTAATGAATGAATCGCTTGATCTCTGTGTATGATACTATACTCGATTTTAGATATTTTTCTGGTCATATTATGAGCATCAAATCTAAATAAGTGAATTTGTATTTAAAGAAGTTTCCGAATCTTGCAACGAAATGCAGTATATATGTTTCGATCTCTTTAGAGAATTTCTCACCTCACACTATTTGACTATGAGTCTTATTATTCCTCTAGAAAGGGAGGGGGAGGGAAATAAAATACCTTTATTACTTCTTGATTTATGTCCACTAGGGATTCTTTTAACGGAGTTTGTAGTGTCACTTTCCATTCACTTCAGTAATATAAATAATGAAAAACACTGCATGTAATTTTATTTCACAAATGCCTCTAGCCATGTTGTCAACTATTGATTAAAACCAATCATATGATACAGAGGTCTCCCACATACACACACACAGAGTCGCTCTCTATCTCCTCTACACTTTCTTCTGATAAGTGGGCATCACTCAGCTCTGTAGAAATAGCAGTAGAATGCCTAATTATTTACTAAGCAGATATATTTTTTAGAAGACATATTGTATTGGCGGCCATGTATTGAGTGCTTTCTTGTTACTATGCCCTGTGCTCCACTTTATACACATTATCTTAAACTCTGGAAAAATCATTATCGTCCTTCTTTGAGTCTAGGCTCGTGCTCGTCCTGCTGCACTCTGCCATCTTCCGCCGTGGATATTGACAATCTCTAGGCCAGGGGTCAAAATTTGGGTCTCTCGTTTGTGTTGTTTGTCTTTAACTGGATTTGAACATGGTAGGGGAAGGGGATGACATTTGAAGCCCACCTGGGGTGTTTATTGCCCCACACTCTGTTGTGAGATGGTATTGAAGTTCCAGGAATTATTTTTGCTGTGTGTTGCATAGAAGATCATGAACCCAGCTCCCAGATCCTTGTTTCTAATATTCTCCAAAAGAAGGAACCAGGACTCCTTGGAGAAATGGCTGATTCTAGGACTGGGACAGAATGTACAAGATGAGATTGGAGCTTCTTGTAGTGCCAGAAAGTAAGGAAGTGGCCCCAAATCAAAAGAATGGGAGCATGGCAATGGGACAAAGGGGCCAATAGAAAGGTACCCAGTAGTCACACCTGAAACAATTTGAGCAACAAAATAAATAATGTATTATTGCATAAAGCAGTAGATAAGTATCCGTGAGTTCATACCATCTAAATAAATGATTGAGTAAAGAGGGGAGAAGAGACAAATCTGTATAGAACACTAAATGATTTTTGTAGATACTCCGCCTCAAGAAGGTAGAGCTTAACTCACCCCCAACTCCCTCCCTTAAGTGTGGGCTGCACTTAGTGACCACTTTCTAAAGAGCAGAGTGAGGGGAGAGGGAAAATAAATGGCAGTGGAAAACCCTAGAAAACTACTTCAGTCAGGTGATCAAGGTTAGCATCATCAGTGGTGAGTGATGTTGACAGCATGTGCCCTTGATATGATGTGATGAGAGTGGCATAAATACAAGTCCCAAAGCCTATAGCTCTAGTCTAACCATGGGAAAAACATCATAAAAAAAAATTGAGGGATTTTGTGTGTGTATATACATATATATATATACATATGGAGGTTATATATCAGGAGATGATTATTATACAGATATTTTGTATGTGTGTATAAGATTTTATATATGTGTGTGTATATCTTTATATAATATATATAAGGCATATATAAAGGGATTTATTTTAAGGAATTGGCTCATGTGATTATGGGGACTGGCAAGTCCAAGATCTGTAGGACACGCCAGCAAACTTGAAACTCAGACAAGAGTTGGTACTGCAGTTGAGACAGAATTCCTTCTTTTTGCTCTTAAGGCCTTCAACTGATTGGACGAGGCCTCACCCACATTATCAAGGGTAATCTTCACTTAAAGTCAACTCATTGTAGATGTTAACCACCAATATCTACAAAATACCTTCACAGCAACACCTAGATTGGTGTGTGGTGAAATAACTGGGTTCTGTAACCTAGCCAAGCTGACACATAACAGTGACCATCATAGAGATTCCAGCCTAGACAAGGGAATGCCAGACAAGGTAAGTGTAAGAAACTGTCACAACCCGGAGTTGACTAAAGAGGCATGACAACTAAATGAAATGTGGTGTCCAAGATGGGACTCTGGAACAGAAAAGAAACATTAGGGAAAAACTAGTGAAACATAAGTAAGCTGTAGAGTTTAGTTAATAATTTTTTATTTGTGTAAAAGAAGGCAGATGCCTGCATAGACAATTCTCCTTCACAGAGGAAATGTAGTGTGACAACAAGTCACATCCAGTGTTCCAGGGAGACAACCAAAACTCAACAAAAACCGAGCTCAGGAGCGCAAGAGCCTGACTGCAGTTTTCCAAAGTGACAGAAATAATGACCAATTGTCCTTTCTCCATCTTCTCCCCTGAGCAACAGACAAAGCAAAGGTCTAAAATCACGACTACGTGGAAATTCTAAAACTTGCGTCTTGTTGGTCTGCATTGGATTACTTCCTCAGAGATATTATACTTACTGTTTGGTTAGTGGCCTCCAAGTAAACAAAACATTCTGAAACCAAGTCTCAGGATTTGGGGTAAAACATCTTCCGCATTTAGCTTACTAGTAATCCTATAAGCAAAATAATTCATTCAGATACTCGGGCATATATTTTTCAACCATTTATCTTGGAGCAACATTTTATGTTAAGAAATAAGATATTTGTAAAGCTAGGCTGAAATTACAAGTAAACTCTACAATCTTAATGACTGGACAAGACAGAAGTGGGTATATTTCATTCACATCACATTTCAGGGCAGAGCAGGGGACCATCCTCCATCTTGTAGCTTTGCTATCTGGAACATGTGGACTCCAAAGTCACAATGGAAGAAGAGAAAACTGAAGAATTGCAAGAAAAAGTCCAAGCTTGGAGGTGCTTTACACCCCTTCTGTCCCACCTTGTCAGCCAGGATCCAGTCACACTGTCCTGACCCAACTGCAGAGGAGGCTGGATCTTTCTGTGTCCAGGAAAGGGAAACAGTGCGATAAAAACATAGTGTCGCGTCTGCCATTAACTGTCAACTAAGTTTGGGAAATCTTAAACACTTTATTTCCCCTTACGGACTCCTAGTGCAAATTACACATTAAAGACTCAAGATTCCTATAATAAGGAAACTGGTCTAACATTGTTTAACACCGTGTTTCCCAAACTTATTTAACATTGTTTAACTCAGTCCTTATCAACAGGGAACATCAATAAATATCTTGAAAAAAAAACTATATTTGCTTAAACATGGTTTGGATACACTAACTTGAAGATACACTGCTCTTCTTTTTTCTATGCTTCCGTGACCAGTAACTCCTCTTTCAGACTCTTCTTTGTGTGTGTGTGTGTGTGTGTGTGTGTGTGTGTATTCAGTTCACTCTCCTTCAAGAACAGATTATCTAGGAGTCAACATTTCTCCCAGAATCATTTCTTGATCTCATAATTTAACAATCAATGAAAAATCTTATTTCCCTAGGTTCAGAATTCTCCTGATAGATGTTTAACTGGATCCACAAATACCAATCTCCAAGTTCTCTGGAATGAGTTGCACTGGGTTATAAGAAATCTTAGAACCAAATTAATGGCCAACTTCTAGAAAGAAAGTAGGATTTCATGTATGCATTTCATGTAATCACGTAATTCGTGAGTTGATCTGGTTTTTTGTTACCCTGATTTTCCTTTGCTCTGATTATTGTTGCCTATACATTTAAACTTCATTTTTATATTGCTTATTGTGGTATATATTTGAAAGCCATCTAAATCATTTTCGGAGGAAGGCAGTAGATAGATGATGGATAAATAGATCAGAAATAGATTGGATAGGTAGGTAGGTAGATAGATGAATAAGTTCTTTAAATATGGCTCTGGTTGTTGTGATGGCATAGTCTGTAGCTATGTGTTTTCATATTTTGTGACTAGTTGCTGAGGAAACACTAAACTAATGAGAAGGACAGGAGCTGCCTTTGGTATGTCATGAGTCTAAAACCTGGATTTTCTACATTCTTAAAGATTTCTGCCCGATATTATGAGAGTAGGATGTTAAATCTCATTATAATGTGTGAAACATTTTAAAGTACATATGAAAAAAATTATGAATTTTCCTTGTGTGGCAAAAACAAATTCTTACCTGTACTTTAGCATAACCTTCTATTCCTTTATACATATATATCATTAAAATTTATATATCATTAATACAAAAAGTTAAGATAAACTCTCAATATTGCACAAAACTAAAAATTAAACTGGGGTAAAAGAATATATATTTCTCGACAGGCAGTTACAGAAATGGAGTTAGTAATATTCAGCGTTAGTTTCTTTCTTTTGAAGGAGCGTGTCCAAATAGAAATCATTCTTGCCCCCTCTGGCCATCTCTAGTACATCTCAGACTCCTAGCACAAGTAGGATGTGGGCCGCTTCTCGACATTCTGGCTGGCTTGTCAAATGTCAGTTTAAAAAAAGATAAGGCTGCTATTCATTTGTTATTGTTCACTCATGTATTGAGATACTGTGCCAGGTGCTCAGAATGTAAAGATAAATAAGTAATAGAATTTCACAATGTGGTCTGCTGACTGTGGTCTCGGAGGAGCAAATAGATTTGTTGCTGTGCCAGAGTCTATAAGTTTCCTATCCAGCATCCATTCTTCTTTCTCCACAAGAAGAGAACCATGTTTCAGGTGCCAAAAACATCGTTTTTCCATCCATGTGACTAAATTCTAAGTAAAGAAAGAAGTGGGCAGAACTTCCAGGAAGACTCCTTAAAAGGGAAAATAGAAAACGTGGACATTTCCTAATAACAACCTTTACCTTCTCCTTCAGCTGCTTGGTATGTGTGTAAAATGGCTGGAGATCTGCATCCATCTTAGATCACAAGACAACATTACATGCTAGATGGTAGATGGGAAAGACAGACGATGCTAGAATCCTGATGATTACACACCAATCATATAACCATCAACTGCCTTTACTCTTGGTTTATTTTATGTAAAAGAAAAATAAGCCCTTAAATACTTACTAATATATTTAGGATTTTCTGTGACGTGCAGCCAATCCAATCCTAAACGATTCACTTAATGAAACTAAATGATCTAATTGATGAAAAAACTCAAGAACTAGGCCTTGCGTGTATAAGATTTAACTAAGTAGGTGAATGAGGTTGTAGATATACAGAAAGAAGGCATATTCATATATTAAAAGTAGGAAATTACATTGAATTCTTTCTAAACTCATATTAATTCATTCAACATGAGTTAGTAGTTCAGAGTCTATGAAAAAAACGTAAATAATAACAGTGGAATGGTAAGTTAAAACCAGTTTATAAATGACCTTCAGTGTGTAAACTAAGAAGATTGGATTCTATGTTACTGATTATATGGCCACTATGGATTATTTACAAAGTAAAAAAAAAATATTTAGAGCTTAAGGAACCTTAAAATCCACTACTCTAGTGATTTCAAAATGTGCTGTGGGGGGATCCCCCTGAAAACTACTTGGTGGGCAGGGGGCTGGGGCAAAGAGTTTGGGACTCTTGATGGGTAAGTCTCCGCAGCACTGTGATCCCTCTTTCAGAGCAACTCACTTTTATCTGTTTATAACTGCACATCACACTTCCTTGAACAACATATTCCAAGGCTAATAAAATGTGAAGTCTACCAATTTACATCCATCCATTCATTGTATTTATTGGAAAATTTTGACTCAGAGGAGCCTTTTGCCCGTGATCCCACTGCTAGTTAAGACTTGATCTCAAGTCTATAGAACATTGGCCAATTTCCCTCATTATGTTATAGTGCGTATCAGAGCTGTGCTTCAGGAAGATGCTCTGAAGTGTACTTTGTAGGGATAAATGTCGGCAGCTGGGAGACTGGTTGAAAAGCCGAGTGCAATTGCTGCTCCAGAGACGGGGATGGCCTGGAGCCAGAGTAGTTACAGCAGAACTACACAAGCAGGGACGTGTCAGTTGGCCTAAATGCCTTCTAAGCCTCTCTCATCAACAGTGTAACTAAATTCCTGCTTTTAATTCCCTGTGTTTAAACACTCAGAATGGTTTCTCTTTTGTTCCTGGTTGCTTCCTGACTTATACACAGATCAATACCCTACCTTTTACTAAAGAGAACAAATGAAGTTGGGAATTTAACTTGTGTTGTAATTTTGCAACCAGTAGCCTCAAACTTTGGGTCTGATATTTGGATACATCAGTCCTGAGGCTATAAGAGAGAAAAGATGATTTCAGACTAGTTTTCTGATCATGCTTTGAGCTGAGAATTTAAAACCCTAAGAATTCTCTGTCTTTAATCTCAGTGTGCTCAGAAGTAGGCATCGTCCCCCACAGTCCTCATGTTCATCTCTATCTCGTCATTCTTTTCCAAGAGTCACTTGGACTCCACATATTTGCTTTCACAAGGCTCTGTAGTCCGGGTAACTACAGCTGATAATTTATGTAACTCTTTTCCATTGTATCTTACGGACTACCGTCTCATTTTCCACTAATGATAAAGTCACTACCACCTTCAGATCTCACCAAGTGGGATAACCAACACAAAGACTCATCTTTAGGTGGCTCTTTACCTAGAAAATTCTTCTGGAGCCAAATATTGTGTCAGTCAGGAGCAGTCAGGAAAACAGACATCACTACAAGTGTTGCAAATGTAAAATGGTTTATAATAGGGACACAGAAGGGCTGGTAAAGCAGAGGTAATGAGGTTTCCTTCTGGCTTTCAGAAATTCCAGAAATGTGAGACTTACAGAAAAGCCACTGCTCATAAACTTGGCTGTCTGGAACACCAAATCCATGATTCTCAGGGGGATGCCAAGATATTGCTAGAAGCTGCTGTTGATTATCACAGCTGCATACAGCACT